ATTGCATTGGGCCTTGACTTGTCATTGGGCCATTTTTCCAATAATACATTAGACCCATTTTTCACAATTAAAAACCAAAATTGCTTTCAAGCTGTCCATAATTTGCTTCTGCTTTGAAAAAATTCATTGGGCCTTTTCATGCAATACACTTGAAATTGCATCCCAGTTGATGTAGAATCTATTTTTTGGCAAAAATTTGAAAATAGCATTTGCACGTGCTTAAAACTAATATAGACTTTTTCATAAAAACTCATTTTTAAAATCGTATTCAAAGTTACATTGGGCCTTTACGCATCTCATGAATGAGTAAGGCCCACACAATTCATTCCATTTGGGTACACTTGGTAGTCGAATAACTTCGTACTGAGACTTCTTTATGGAGGATTAATTATACTTCCATTGTTTCTACATAAAAGATTAATTTATTCACCAAAATGCTTAATTTATGGGATAAATAAATTTTCTTGACGCTTGTGGTTAGTAAACGTAAAAATATTACATCGATAATATACAAGTTTGTGAGCTATCTAAAACCTCATGTGCTTGCACGTGACTTACATGTGAGAGAGGTGTTGAAATATTGTCCAACATCATTTGACAACATGTCATAAATGCTCTTTATATTCATGAAAAATCAATTCATTCTTGTGTGATTATTTACTTGTTTAGCCTCTAAAAAAGGAGTGAACACTCTTATTTCTCTTGTTCGTTCCAACTTTGATCAAATAATATTTGTGACATCGATCATCTCTTACAAGAGTTACGAATATCAATTCACCCCAATATTGTGATAAATGGGGACTTACTTCTTGGACCAATTTGATATTTGTACTGATTTCAGTTTCCTTTATTTCTTTGTTTGGGATTTGTGTAGCCTTTAGGTACAAGAAGGAAAATGGCTCCGTGTTACTCTTTCAGTTTCTAAACTCAATAGCCTAACAGTGGCCGGTTTACTTCTCTTTCTTGTTCTTTTATTCATTGCCACAAGCGGGGGCAATTCGGTCTTGGTCGGCACCATGGTCGGCCAAGATTGGACCGGAACTTCACAACCATTAATAACGCGATCGTGAAGGCTCCGAACAATATCACTAGCATGAAGCGGTACATCATGACACAGGTTTTTTTTTTTTGAGTTAATATTACGAAAAATCCAAAACTGGTATATCTGTGATATATTTACCCCAAACTAATTTTTTGACCACCAAAAATCCCAAACTTGTACATTTGTGACAAATTTACTCTCCATTAGTTTCCATTAAATTGGATTAATACTGCGAAAGAATCGCAAACTGGTACACTATGACAAACGGAGAGGTAAAACCTAGGGGTCTGTCCGGTCCGGTCCCATCCAAGAACCGGGAACCGAACCGGGAGGATCAGTTCCCAGTTTCTGGGACCGGGGACCGGACCGGACTAGTTCCAATGGAACCAATCACTTTTTGGAATGAATTGAAAATCAGTGAGGATCTTCAATTAGTTTCAATTTCTTCGTACAATTGTGAAAAATGTATAGATGTCCACACATGAATGACAAATGCCCCTTCTGAGAATGACAATATCAGAAGAACATTTACTTGCAAAGAAGCAAGAAGTGGGCTTCACCGCACATTCATCCCAGTCTATGAGAACTCCAAGCAAAGATTTGCCAAAACGAGTGACTGCCAAAAATGCCCACACTAACTTGTCAAACTACTGATGTATTGGAAGACACGGTGTCCTCTCCCGGTGCAGATGATACAGCTCAAACTCGTCTTTCATGAGTTCAAAAGGACAACCCAAAACAAAACTTGAGGGTAATCAGCAAAAAGTCATGAAAGCCATCTTCCGAGGGCAATACAGCACCTTGTCATGGAATTGGGGAAACTTGAAAGGCAGATTAATTAGATTAAGGTTTCTATTCTTTTTAAAAATTAAAAAAAATTAAAAATATATATATTTGGTTTGGTCCGGTTCCCACCCTGAAATCAGAAATCAAACCGATACTCCCGATAATCGGACCAAACTGGCCCGTCAAGTCCGGTCTGGGCAATTCCTAATTCGGGCGATCCATCTTGCTCACCCTTAGTACAACCCGAAACTGGTACATCCGTCAACTGTCACGTGTCATCTAACTTAGCAATTTGATGGTAAAATTTAATAGAAACCAACGGAAGGTAAATTTATTAAAGGTATACCAGTTTGGAGCTTTTTGTGATAAAAAAAATTAGTTTGAGGTAAATTTGTCATAGATATACTAGTTTGGGATTTTTTGTGATATTAACCCTTTTTTTTGTCAAAACTTTCGGATATATGTGATCACTGGTGTTGACGAGTATGTGTTAATTGTTGAGAACAAGAAATATCTCATGATGATCGCAGATGGCATCAACTGTACAAAGATTTAATTAATAAAGAAGAGATAATCTCTAACTTAACTTAGCCGTTCAAAGATTGAACAAAAGTGACATTTGAAGAATATGACACCAAAATACGGAATTACCACGTACTCTAAAATAAAACAAAATCAAATTTGTGAAGAAGCTAATAACTTTCAAAATCGCCTTCTTTTTTTAATTTTTTCTTGATACATCCATATAGCAAAACTTTCATTTTAAAACTTTCAAGCTACATATGGTCAGTTCATAACTTTTTTCATCGGCGTTATTTAACATTAAATGATGTTCGACAAAATTTCATAAGCTCTAATGAAGTCCATGTCTCAGTTTCTTCTTGCTAGCTGATTTCCACACATGAAGATGACCAATTTCTGGAGTTTCTATGTCATGTTGTGGCCTCATTCTATTGAAGCGCTCATGGTCGAGCAGTTTCCTTTTCTTGTTCTTCTTTTATTTATGTAATGGATTTGACATTAGTCGGGCTATGCGACGTGAATCTGTTTTCATCAGAGTGAGTATGAAGAATATGCAATTGCATTTCTATTAATGGGACACAAATAGAATTTTGAAGTATTGTTTACTCATCATTGATTTGTATTTGAATTATTGATTTCTATTGGAAATTTGTTAATGAGTGTCAAGGGGCACTTGTATATTTTGACGATTAAACTCTTTTGTAACATGTCTGACCCAAAAAAAAAAAATCTTTTGTAACATGGAAATTTATCTCAAATTTCAATAGGTTTTTGACTTGAAATGATATTTATATTATGACAATTAAACTCAAAAATGATTTTTTTAGTTGATTTGCAACACAAAGCATATAAAAAAGCTACTGATTATTTTTATTGCGAGTTATTCTTCAAATTTTGAAAATAAAAACAATTATTTAAGCGAAAAAAAATCATATAAAAATTTCAAATGTCAATATTTTTCTATTTTGAAAGGTGCCAAGTGCTTCATATTAAATAAAAGACCAAACTATGAATTTCGTAACATTTATAAAAATGAGAAGTAAGCCCTAAACAGCAATTTGTGTGCCGAAGTCATCCATTTGCATGAAGGCAATAGGAGGAAGAGTTTGAATTTCAAATAAACTTTGGTTTATTGATTTGTTTCCTGACTTTCTTCTGTGATTGAGTTTGAACTTCAAATAACAAAACTGTTAAAAAGTAAGCATCTCACATATATTCTCCCATATTTATCTCTTTCAACTTTTTTCTCTCATTGTTTTTAAACTTGAAAAAAAAAATTAAAAAGAGACAAGATATTTTGAAAATTACCATCATTATCCTTTCAAGGGGTTTATCTTTTTCGATTTTTATCTCTAATTAATTTTAAATCTGACAATATGGTATATAAGTATATCGTCATGCATAGTTTATTTTAGTAATTATAGATTTAGTTAGAAGGAGAAGTATATCTTGTTGGATAAATAAGATGCATTTTTTGAAGTATGACATATTTTAACATGTGAATAAATACACAATTTAAAATAATATTAATGTAATTTGAAGGATAGCTTATGTTGTGAAATTTTTATTGAATATTCTCAAACTATAAACATTTAAATAACAATAATTAATCTAAAAAAGAAGTTCAAGATTTTAACTCACTTGAAACATGCATATTGACATTTCATTCGATTTTAGGTCCTCTTGAAATCCACTTGATTTAAATATATCTAAATTCCTCTAAAGCATATCTATTCAGTAAAAGTTAAAAAGTGTATGTAAATTGATGTAAATTCCACGTAATTTGAAATTACTTCAACAAAATAAGAGAGAATTCAATAAGGCTTAATGTATTAGTTTGTTGTTCGATAGATATTTTAAATACAACAACTCAAATGAAATTTAGGTAGTGGACAAAAAGAGAAGATCTCGAGTTTTAATTTAGCAATTCAAAAGATTGAACGAAAATGACATTAACAATACGACGCTAAAATAAGGAAATCTACATACTCCAGACTAACACAAAATTCAATTTGTGAAGAAGAAGCTAATAATTAAAGTTGTTTCCTTTTTCTTTTTTTTCAATACATACGTTTAGCAAATTTTTGAATTTAAACTTTCAAGCCGCTTGGGTCCAATTCATATATTTTTGGTCTGGTTTGTTCTATCCCCGGTGGGTTACAACCCCAAATAATACTAATACATACGTGAAAGTACATTATTAATATATGTTACCTAGTTATTTTCCTTATGTAAATTCTACAAAATTTTCACATTTCTGCATTTCTTTGAAATCGCTTTGCACAGCTTATCTACTCTCATAATTGCTCACTGGGCAGGATAGGGAGACTCCCAGACCTAGTTTGGAATTATACCTCTTGAAGATGGAGCTTATTATTAATTTCATAAGCTTTAATGAAGTCCGGTGTATCAGTTTTGATGTATCAGTTTTTATTCCGCGTTTAAAAGTACATGGAGTGTCATAAGTTCATTCATGATTTATTATTAGCGCTTCTATTTTATTTTGCTTTTTCAGTAATAAGACTTCAACAATCGTACAGAGAAAATGATGACCACAATTCCACTGTAAAATCTCTCAAAAAGAAGAAGGGTTTCCATTAGACGACTTCTATGGTCTACTACAAAGCAGATGGATTTGCAAGTGCCCAAGTTGAATAGCAAAAGGCATATCGATTACTAATGATGAATCATTTACAAGTCCAACCGTTGCTGTCAAAAATATAATGTCTATACAAAAACGATAGAGCCCAAAAATTGGGATTGTGGTGCAGACAGTAGTAGTTACAGCCATCCCGTTTCTTGCTCTAAATCACAATCCCAGTTGCATCGGGGCATAGATGACATTGTCTTGCTTGCAAAATTTGAACTCCAATGTCAATAGCTTGATTGTTTCTTCTTCTTAGCATGACTCCATCGAATGAGGAAGCTGCTCTTTTTAGCTCTTCGGAGAATCCAACCATTTCCAAACGGTCAGCATCCCCGCAGCATCTCCTGTGAAGATTAGGCCTCCGGGAGCCGTCTGAAGAGTCCTCACTTCTCGTCTTGAGAATATCTTGCCCCTTTCAGTGAACCTGGAGTACGATGCACGAAGTCAACCAGGCAGAAGAAGAGAACAGTCTTCAGTGAGAGACAAGGACGTCAAACCGATTAGAGAAATGATTTGAACTTACGATGGGAGCTCGTACAAGCGAACAGTGTTGTCATTGCACGCACAGAGAAGGACCGGCTTACCACGTGCATCCATCAACCCTGACAGTGCAAGAATACCCTGTGCAGGACAAAATGATATTTGCAACATCAACATATGATATAACATCACTTCCATTTGACTAGGAACTGACAAAGCACCGACAGGTTGAAGATGAAATTTTATGTCTTCTCCACATAGAGCAAGCACATGGAAGGTACTTGACAGTATGGCTCTATTACAAAGATTCAATCCACAATATTCATATAGTCATTTTTAGCTGAGGAAATAAAACCGAAAAGCTATAAGACGCATCTTTGAGATCTAAGATAGAAAAATAGGTCCATCCACTTGGCGCATATGAAGTCAATAAAAGAAAACACAGTTTCACCCTTATTGTCTACCCTTTTTCCTATAGTACCATCATCAACCACAAATTACCATAATCCACACAAGTGCAAAAAAAAAAAAAATTTAGTGAGCAACATACATGGTCCTCATGATGTGTATAGGCAACTTCCAAGCTGCCTCCTTCAGTGGGAACCCCCCAGACCTTAACTGTCTGATCCAACGAACAGGATATCAAGTACTCGTCCCAGCAAATAAGTGACATCACCACATCAGTGTGTCCAACAAGTTCCTGAACACACTCCAGTGTGTGCAAGTCCCACACCTGCGGAGGAGAAAAAAAGTAAGATGTGAGGGGTCAGGACGATTACTACAGTGGAGCGGGGCACAAAAATACAGAGAGGACGTAGCAAACAAATAGAAGTGATGCAAAAGAGAACATAAACTACAAGGGCCAAGTCATGCCTCCCAACACACACAACTAGATAAAATCAGGGTGAGAGCATCTAAGACAAACCACCATACCCTTATGGTCCGGTCGATGGAACCTGAATACAACCGGTCACGCCCAATAGTTAATGATACCACACCCCGAGTGTGACCCAAGAGAGGTGCAGCCATCTGAAAAGGATCAGCTTCACTATCTCCTTTCCACACCAAGATAGCGCCATCCTAGAAGCAAAGTTTGTTCAGTTTAATCATTGAAAGCCAATATAATTCATCACAAGTAGCAACAGAATGAGGCAGTACGTGATCATATGAATGTTGACTTAGGTGGGCCACACTTAAAGAAGAAGAGAAGAATTTCAGGTCTAAACCAAAAATCCACCCTCACACTGAGCTTCAACTTTTATATCACTTATGCTGCTAATTCACGGAGGAACGAGATACAAAAGAAACAGACTAGACAAAATTCCAGCAGATAAACCACCTAAATTGACATTAAATTCTTTCTAATAATGAATTACCTGGGCTCCGGCAAAAAGCATGTTCTTAGAAACTTCCATAGCATGGACCTGTCCAACTGGTCCACTGATATCGTAGCAAGCACCATTCTGGGTATTCCATGCCTACAAGAGATACAAGAGAAAGCACTAAATTAAAAGCTCAGCAGCTCACTAATTCAAGAATTGCCAAAAAAATAATAACGAAGGACAAAGGAGACCAGCCAACCGCTCACCTTAATAGCATTAGGCATGCCAACAAACACCCAAGGACCTTCACAAGTAAAACACCCAACTTCTCCTCCAAGGTTGATCACTTGATTGCATTTACCAGTGTGACAGTCCCAGATTCGTGCTGTTCCATCTTTGCTTCCGGAGTAGAGCTTAGTAGATCCAGAAGGAAGTGCTATTCCAGAAACACCCTATCATAAAAAGCATCAGGTGAGTCCAGACCTACCTTTATGCCTGACAGGCAATGATATTTCTAAATCTTAATTAGTACAGGACGGGAACAAATTGGAGTTTCATAATACAAGCGATGCTACTAAATTTTCTACGGCTATAGTCTTGGATATAAGAGAGAACACAGAAGGTAAAAACTAATCTAAAAAGAGTACCTTTTTATGCCCGTCGAGCTTAGCCAGCATGGAAAAATCAACACCGTGATACCATGAATGCAAGAAAGGACATGTATCGCCTTTCACACAGTTGCCCGACATCCAGTAGTGGCACACTTTTTCTCCGGGCTTATGAGGGTTTTTATCTTTTGACGAATCACCTCTCTCTCTAGAAGTTGAACTCGCCGAATTCACCAGGCTAGATTCAGGGCCCTTCCCATGGCAATCCTCAGGCATGTAACTCGACTGCTTTGCAGCTCGATGGTAAACATTGCGTGTTAGAGATGCGTCATGCAAAAACCTGCAGGGATTCCGGTTGCACCTCCCTTCCAACCAGTAACTGCAAACTTTGCCGCTTGTCGGTGCTGTCGGAAGCTGATTATAGTGAGCAGCTGATTTTTGCGGCCAACCCGCAGTAGTCCTTGCTGTCTTAATATCCATGCTATTATTATACAGAAAGACGGACAATCAATGACCGAACTGAATAACCTATCCAAAGTTAACTCAAAGTATCAGAACTCGTTCTTGCAAGAAGATCCCTTGCAGAAAACCCAAGGTCCCACTGTAGCCAAGCAATCCCAAGAGTTCCAGTTCCTCTTAGCACCAACAATACGGACAGAATAAAGAACAATCCACGACCTATAAGATAATGCATAACCATCTCGATCCATCATGATTCCCCATCTCTTTCGGTTCCAACCAAATCAAATTCACCCAGAAGCAGAATAGCTGAAAACCTAGAACACGAACTAGAGACTAAAGGAAATTCGTACAAGAATGTCGCATTGTCCGAGCCTCTTCACCAAAAATTCCAGTCATCAAACCTAATGTCCAAAAACTCAAATCAAGGCAACAAATCCCAGATCCTTTCAGTCGGAAGAAAACCCCCCGATTCCTTCGGGGTTACGAAACCTGACAATCCCGGCGAATGGCTACCAAACGCAGGCCCGACGGCCATCGTCGTCGTCACCGGCGGACACCCACCATCTAGAAAACCCTCCCAAGGCCAGCGGGAGATCGTCATCGTCGAAAGAAGAAGAGGAAACCCTAACGGGAACTTCATGGCTATATACTTGGGCTAGAAACTGCTACGGAGAGAGGGCGTCGAGAAGAGAGAAGCAAAGCAAAGCAAAGCAAACCTGAGGAAACCCGCCAAGCGACGATCGCCCCTCGAATCGAAGTCACGAAGATCGTCGGCTGCGGTGGCGATCGAGAAGAACCGAAGCGATGATCGATCGATCGATCGATCGAGAAAGAGAGAGAGAGAGATGTCGAAGGAGACGAAGCCTTTGGTTCTGTTTCTTGGATAGGAAGTTTGCGCCTGGTCTTCTTCTGCTTCTTTGAATATATGAAGGAAGCCAAAGCGCGTTCACCTCACGCGGGGTGGAAGTTACCGTTGAGATTTTCTTGATTTTATTATACTGGAAAAAGAGAGAAAATAAAAGGAGTAAAAGAACATTAAATACCATGTAGAGGATAAATTGCTCGAAGATTTTAGTCTATTTAGGAAAGACCGATCAATATCAGAAATGTTTCAAATTTCGATTACAATCTCTTAGAAGATAATGAAAATAATTTTCATTATCGGTAAAACCTATGCCGGGCATTTTTGTTGGTAATCAAAATATTCTCCATTAACTCAATTTTCTAAACAACGTAAAAGATCAATGTCAGGAATTTTTTTTTTTCGAATTATTGACTTCCCGCGAAACCAACTTTCTTGCCTTTCACTCTGCAAATTATAGACCTTCAAGTCATTCGTTGCAGCCATCTTCAAAATGATTGGCAAACCGAGTTGCTCAACTCCAATTTTATAAACTAACTGTGGCACATAGCCCAGTGATAAGATAATTGAGTAGGGTGAGGGCATTTAATTTTGGGTGTGGGATTCGATTCCTATACTTTGCAAACATACAGAGTAAAAATCTAAAAGAGGTGTGAGAATTAGAGTAGGACAGTTAAAAAAAAACTCTAATTCTATAGGTTTTCTCCATCATTTGGTGAAGAACAAGATGAATGAGTGGGGCTCACAGAGATCTCATCCCTGATTTCTCAATCCCCACCCATCATGCTTCATAGCTTCCCAAACAAGGAGATGAAAAATCTTTCTTTTAGGTTTTCTTTGTTCTTATCTTGACTACTTTTGGATTGGGATATTGTGACATTGCCACGTCTTATTGTCTTCATATATTTGCAATCCTTATGGAATTTGGGTATATTTTCTATACATAAATGTTGCGTTTGCAATCAAATTGAAAACAAGAAAGAACATGATTTGCAAAATCGCTGTATCGAGATGATGCACCAAGTCTTACCATTGAAATACTCGTCAAAGTAACACTACAGAACTTTTAGATTAGAATTTGCTTCAGTAGTGTTGTTAATTGATCTATGATGCTTCACATGCTTGTTTCAAGGGATATTTTTTCGAAGATTCTAAATGAACATGCAATAACAAGGGCATGGGAGGAATTTCTAGCCAATTGCATATTAATTTATGTTTGTGAGTACTACTTTAGTAGCTAAGCTTCTTCGAACATTTATCCATCATTGAATTGTCCCAATCTCTTCATCAATATAATACTTTCTGGCAAAGTTAAAGACAACTCTTTAGTAGATGATGGCAAAATGCTTGTAGAACCTTATCCACTGAAGTAGTACTCACAAACAATAAACTACTATGCGATTGGGTAGTAGTTACTCCCATGCCTTTGTTATTGCCTCTTCATCTGAATCTTTGAAAACAATATCCCTTGAAACAAGCATATGAAGCATCATAGATCAATTTACGACGAGAATAAAAAGCAATAATAATCTAAAAGTTTAGTATAACATATTTTGGCAAGCATTTTCTATGGTAAGACTTGGGGCGTCATCTGCATATATCAATTTGCAGATCATGATCCTTTTTTGTCCTATTTGAAAGTAAATGCAGCATCTATGTACAGGACACGTGAAACTTTCTCCTGCAACAATCCTTACCGTAAGTTTTTCTAACCTCGTTTCTGCAATGGAGCAATTTTGCTACATAGTGGGGATGCTAGAAGTGGCCGCAAGTAGCAGAAACACATCGGAAGACCTAACAAGGAATTAGTGTCAGAAAACATATCCATAAAACTAAGCTATTGAGCATCCACAATCGACATATAACAGCACTTGAATAGAATTCTAGAAGCCTTGAATCAAGTAAGGGGTCCAAGAATCCACGTCAAACCTAGAAAACTTGATGATTATCATATTTTTGGTGTTAAATTTGCAAGCAGGGAGGAGAAGGAACGAGGGAGCTTATCTTAGTCACAAGAAAATATTAAGAAAAGCTACGTCAACATTTTTCGTTAGCCAAATTGAACGGAGTTAACATAAGAGCTCGATTACACCAATTTGACAAGTTTCAGGAGAGTTATGAATATCAATTCACCCCAATATAGTGATAAAGGGGGACTTACTTCTTGGACCAATTTGATACTTGTACTGATTTCAGTTTCCTTTTTTTCTTTGTTTGGGATTTGTGTAGCCTTTAGGAACAAGAAGGAAGATGGCTCCGTATATTACTCTTTCAGTTTCTAAACTCACTAGCCCTAACAATGGCCGGTTTACTTCTCTTTCTTGTTCTTCTATTCATTGCCTCAAGCGGGGACCATTTGGTCTTGGTCGGCACCCTGGTGGTCGTGAGCCAAGACGGACCGGAACTTGACAACCATTAACAACGCGATTGTGAAGGCAGCCTTCACAATATCGGCAGCACGAAGGGGAACTTCATGATATAGTTTTTTTTTTTCTTTGTTAATGCCACAAAAAACCTTAAACTGGTACACCTATAATAAATTTACTCTAAACTAAGTTTTTTTAACACCAAAAACCCTAAGCTGGTACACCTATGATAAATTTACCCGAAACTAATTTTTTGACCACCAAAAATCTCAAACTGGTACATTTGTGACAAATTACCCTCCGTTAGTTTCCATTAAATTAGATTAATATCACCAAAGAACCACAACTGATAAACGTGTGACAAACGGTGGATAAAACCTCAAACTAGTATATTCATCAACTGTCATGTGTCACCTAACTCAGAAATTTGACGATAAAATTTAATGAAAACTAGGGCTATGTTCATTTGCGGAAAAATATTTTTCCGGAAAATATTTTCCGCGTTTTCCGGTGTTCGGGGGCGGAAAATGTTTTCCGTGGGAAAATATTTTCCTTCCCCACCCCCAAATCCGTCATTGTTTTGAGGAAATCATTTTCCCCCAAATTGAAGGCAAAATTGCCCATGGGAGAGAAAATATTTTCCGTGGGAGAGGAAGTTGATCGCCGGTCACCACCGTTGGCCGCCGGTCGCCCGCCGCCGCCGCCGCCGCCGCCGGTCGCCGGTGAAAAATATTTTCCGAAACTTTTTCATATTGGTCGCCGAACACCGGAAAATTATGTTCCGGGAAAACATTTTCCAGGAAAATGACTTCCGAGAAAATATTTTCCAAAAGGAGAATATTTTCCGCCAAACGAACGGAGCCTAACAGAAAATAAATTTGTCACAGGCGTATCGATTTGGGATTTTTTGTGGTCAAAAAATTAGTTTGTGGTAAATTTATCACAGGTGTACTAGTTTGGGGTTTTTCGTGGTATTAACCCCTTTTTTTTTTGTTAGAACTTCCGGATATATGTGACCACCGATGTTTACGAGTATGTGTTCATTGTTGACAACAAGAAATATCTCATGATGATCGGAGATGGCATCAAGTGTTCAAAGATTTAATCAATAAAGAAGAGATAATCTCTAACTTAACTTAGCTGTTCAAAGATTGAACGAAAGTGACATCCGAAGAATATGACACCAAAATACGGAATTTCCACATACTCTAAAATAAAACAAAATCAAATTTGTGAGGAAGCTAATAACATTCAAAATCGCCTTCTTTTTTTAATTTTTTTCTCGATACATCCATATAGCAAAACTTTCAGTTTAATGGGACACAAATAGAATTTTGAAGTATTTTTTACTCATGATTGATTTCTATTTGAATTATTGATTTCCATTAGAAATTTATTAATGAGTGTCAAGGGGCACTTGTATATTTTCACGATTAGACTCTTTTGTAACATGTCTCACCAAAAAACAAACTCTTTTGTAGGAAGTTTATCTCAAATTTCAATAGGTTTTTAACTTGAAATGATATTTATATTTTGACAATAAAATTCAAAAATGATTTCTTTAGTTGACTTGCAATACAAAGCATATAAAAAAGCTTCTTATTATTCTTATTTCGAACTATTCTTCGAATTTTGAAAATAAAAACAATAATTTAAGTGTAAAAAATCATATACAAATTTCAAATGTCAATATTTTTCTATTTTGAAAGGTGTCCGGTGTTTCATATTATATAAAAAACCAAAATATGAATTTTATAACAATTAGTGGTAAGACCCTAAACAGCAATTTGTGTGAGGAAGTGGTCCATTTGCATGAAGGCACACTAGGAGGAAGAGTTCATGAGTTCACTCATCTTCTCATATTTTCATCCTTCCATAGGGTCTCTAATAAACATTAGGTTAAATCGAGGAAAGTATTTGCTCCTATGATCGCCATGCGGCAATTCACTTTGTCTCTGTGCCTTGCCATCCAATAAACATTGGTTTATTGATTATTATCTCCGTACTTTTTATCTTCTTATTGAGTTGAATTTCAACGGATAAAACGAAATGAAGAGAAAGTATCTCAAATGTATTCTCCAATTTCAATCTCTTTCAATTAAATAGTTTGTTGATACTTCACTTTAATTCTATGATCATTTTGTGGCAATAGCATAGGGCATAGTTTTGCCACGTGTCTCATGCTCGACCAATAAACTTCGGTTTATTGATTTGTTTTCTCCTTACTTTTTTCTTTGATTGAGCTTGAATTTCAAATAACAAAATTGTTAAAAAGTAAGCATCTCAAATATATTCTCCTGTATTTATCTCTTTCAACTTTTTTTCTCTCGTTGTTTTTAAACTTGAAAAAAAAAATTAAAAAGAAACAAGTTATTTTGAAAAGTACTATCATTATCCTTTTGAGAGGTTTATCTTTTTCGATTTTTATCTCTAATTAATTTTAAATTTGACAATATGGTATATAAGTATATTGTCATACATAATTTATTTTAGTAATTATAGATTTAGTTAGAAGGAGAAGTATATCTTGTTGGATAAATAAGATGTATATTTCGAAGTATAATATATTTTAACATGTGATAAATACACAATTTAAAATAATATTAATGTAATTCGAAGGATAGCTTATGTTATGAAATTTTTATTGAATATTCTCTATCTATAACAGTTAAATAATAATAATTTATCAGAAAAAGAAGTTCAAGTTAACTTACTTGAAACATGAATATTGAAATTTCATTCGATTTTGGGTCCTCTTGAAATCCACTTGATTTAAATATATCTAACATCCTTTAAAGCAAATCCATTCAGCAAAAAATAAAAAGTGTATGTAAATTGATTTAAAGTACACGTAATTTGAAATTTATTCAACAAAATTAGAGAGAACTCAATAAGGTTTAATGTATAAGTTTGTCGTTCGATATATATTTTAAATACAGAAACTCAAGTGAAATTTACTTAATGGACAAAAAGAGATGATCTCGAGTTTTAATTTAGCAATTCAAAAGATTGAACAAAAAATGACGTTTAAACAATACAGCACTTAAATAAGGAAATCGACATACTCTATACTTAAACAAAATTAAATTTGTGAAGAAGAAGCTGATAATTACAATCTTGTTTTCTAAATTTTTTCAAGTTGAGCAAATTTTTAAATTTAAACTTTCAAGCCGTTTGTGTCCAATTCATAAATTTTTTGTCTGGTTTGTTCTATCCCCAATGGGTTACAACCCCAAATAATACTAATAGTCTAATAGATACGCGAAAATACATGTAGAAGTACATTATCAGAATACGTTACCTAGTTATTTTCCTTATGTGAATTCCACAAAATTTTCACATTTCTGCATTTCTTTGAAATCGCTTTGCAGAGCTTATCTACTCTCATACTTGCTCAGTGGACAGGATCGGGAGACTCTCAGACCTAGTTTGGATTGATACCGTTGAAGATGGAGCTCATTATTAGTTTCATATGCTTTAATGAAGTCCCGTGTATCAGTTTTGATTTGTAAAATCTATTCATTTGAATTGCAGTATGTAGTGTATCAGTTTTTGTTCCACGTCCAGAAGTACATGGAGTGTAATAAGCTTATGAAGTCCATCTATCAGTTTCTCATTGAACAATTTTCATCCATACAGTAGTGAGCCTATGCATTGTGAATTTGTTTTCATCGGACTGAGAAGAATATGCAACAATTTTGAAGTGCCGTTTATTCATGATTTATTATTAGCGCTTCTTTTTTATTCCGCTTTTTCAGTAATAAGACTTGAACAATCGTACAGAGAAAATGAAGACCTTAATTCCACTGTAAAAACTCTCTCAAAAAGAAGAAGGGTTTCCATTAGACAACTTCTATGGTCTACTACAAAGCAGATGGATTTGCCCAAGTGCCCAAGTTGAATAGCAAAAGGCACATCAATTACTAATGATGAATCATTTACAAGTCCAACCGTCGCTGTCGAAAAATTAATGTCTACACAAAAACTGGGACTGTGGCGCAGACAGTAGTAGTTACAGCCATCCCGCTCATTGCTCTAAATCACAATCCCAGTTGGGTCGGGGCATAGATGACACAGTCTTCCTTGTGAAATTTGAACTCCAATGTCAATAGCTTGATTCTCTCTCCTACTTATCATGACTCCATCGAATGAGGAAGATGCTCTGTTTGGCTCTTCGGAGAATCCAACCATTTCCAAACGGTCAGCATCCCCGCAGCATCTCCCGTGAAGAATAAGCCTCCGGGAGCTGTCTGAAGAGTCCTCACTTCTCGTCTTGAGAATATCTTGCCCCTTTCAGTGAACCTGGAGTACGATGCACGAAGTCAGCCAAGCAGAAGAAGACAGCAGTCTTCACTGAGAGACGAGGATGTCAAACCAATTAGAGAAATGATTTGGACTTACGATGGGAGCTCGTACAAGCGAACAGTGTTGTCATTGCATGCACAGAGAAGGACCGGCTTACCCCGTGCATCCATCAGCCCTGACAGTGCAAGAATACCCTGTGCAGGACAAAATGATATTTGTAACATCAACATATGATATTACTGTCACTTCCGTGAGACTAGGAGCACAGTAAGAAACTAACAAAGCACTGACAGGTGGAAGAAAAAAAATTCATGTCTTCTCCACATAGAGCAAGCACATGGAAGGTACTTGACAGTATGGCTATAATAGCTTCAATCCACATTATTCATATAGTTATTTTTAGTGGCGGAAATAAAACCGAAAAGCAATAAGACTCATCTCTGCGATCTAAGACTGTAAACCAGGTCCATGCACTTCGCACATTTGCAGTCAATAAAAGAAAACACAATTACACCCTTATAGTCTACACTTTTTCCTATAGTACTACAATCATCAACCACATATTACCATAATCCACACAGGTGCAAAAAAAAAAATTTAGCAAGCAACATACATGGTCCTCCTGATGTGTATAGGCAACTTCCAAGCTGCCTCCTTCAGTGGGAACCCCCCAGACCTTAGCTGTCTGATCCAACGAACAGGATATCAAGTACTCGTCCCAGCAAAGAAGTGACATCACCACATCAGTGTGTCCAACAAGTTCCTGAACACACTCCAGAGTGTGCAAGTCCCACACCTGCGGAGGAGAGAAAAAGAAAGATGTGGTGGGGTCAGGAGGATACTATGGTGGAGCGGGGCAGAAAAAATACAGAGAGACGTAGCAAACCAATCGAAGTGATCCAAAAGAACAAGACAAACTACAAGGGCCAAGTCATGCCTTCCCAGGACACACGACTAGATATAATCAGGGGGAGAGACATCTAAGATAAACCAGCTTACCCTTATGGTCCGGTCGATGGAACCTGAATACAACCGGTCCCGCCCAATAGTTAATGATACAACGCCCCGAGTGTGACCCATGAGAGGCGCAGCCATCTGAAAAGGATCAGCCTCACTACCTCCTTTCCACACCAAGATAGTGCCATCCTAGAAGCAAAGTTCGTTCAGTATAATCATCGAAAGCCAATATAATTCATCACAAGTATCAACAGAATGAGGCAGAACGTGATCATATGAAGGTTGACCTAGGTGGGCCACACTTAGAGAAGCAGAGAAAAATTTCAGGTGTAAACCAAAAATCCACTCTCACACTCAGCACAAACTTTTATATCACTTATGCTGCTAATTCACAAAGGAACAAGATTCTAAAGAAACAGACTAGACAAAATTCCAGCAGATAAACCACCTAAATAGACGTTAAATTCTTTCTAATAATAGATTACCTGGGCTCCGGCAAAAAGCATGGTCTTAGAAACTTCCATAGCATGGACCTGTCCAACTGGTCCACTGATATCGTAGCTAGCACCATTCTGGATATTCCATGCCTAAAAGAGATACAAGAGAAAGCAATGAATTAAAGCTCAGCAGCTCACTGATTCAAGAATTGCCCAAAACAAATAATAACAAAGGACAAAGTAGACCCAGCCAACCACTCACCTTAATAGTATTAGGCATGCCAATAAACACCCAAGGACCTTCACAAGTAAAACACCCAATTTCTCCTCCAAGGTTGATCACTTGATCACATTTACCAGTGTGACAGTCCCAGATTCGTGCTGTTCCATCTTTGCTTCCGGAGTAGAGCTTAGTAGATCCAGAAGGAAGTGCTATTCCAAAAACACCCTATCATAAAAAGCATCAGGTGAGTCCAGACCTACTTTTATGCCAGACAGGCAATGATATTTCGACATCGTAATTATTACAGGACGGAAACAAATTGGAGTTTAATAAAACAAGCAATGCAACAAAATTTTATGCAGCTATAGTCTTGGATACGAGAGAGAACACAAAAGGCAAAAACCAATCTATAAACAGTACCTTTTTATGCCCGTCGAGCTTAGCCAGCATGGCAAAATCAACACCGTAATACCATGAATGCAAGAAAGGACATGCATCGCCTTTCACGCAGTTGCCCGACATCCAGTAGTGGCATACTTTTTCTCCGGGCTTATGAGGGTTTTTATCGTTTGACAAATCGCCTCTCTCTCCAGAAGTTGAACTCGCTGAATTCACCGGGCTAGATTCAGGGCCCTTCCCATGGCAATTCTCAGGCATATAACTCGACTGCTTTGCAGCTCGATAGTAAACATTGCGTGGAAGAGATGCATCGTGCAAAAACCGGCAGGGATTCCGGTTGCACCTCCCTTCTAACCAGTAACTGCAAACTTTGCGGCTTGTCGGTGCTGTTGGAAGCTGATTATAGCGAGCAGCTGATTTTTGCGGCCAACCCGCGGTAGTCCTTGCTGTCTTAATACCCATTCTATTATACAGAAAGACGGACAATCAATCACTGAACTGAATAACCTAACCAAAGTTAACTCGAAGCATCAGAACTCGTTCTTGCAAGAAGATCCGCTGCTAGAAAAACCAAGGTCCACTGTAGTCAGCAATCCCAAGAGTTTCAGTTCCTCTCAGCACCAACCAACAATACGGACATAAAAAAAAGAACAATCCACGACCTACAAGAGAATGCATGACCATCTCGATCCATCATGATTCCCATCTCTCTCGGTTCCAACCCAATCGAATTCACCCAGAAGCAGAATAACGGAAAACACAGAACACGAACTGGAGACTAAATTCGGACAACATTGATGTCGCATTGTCGGAGCCCCTTCACGAAAAAGATTCCAAGTCATCAAACCTAAGTTCCAAACTCGCCATCACCGCAACGACAGCCCCCCTCAAATCAAGGCAATAAACCCCAGATCCTTTCAGGAGGAAGAAAAGCCCCCGCCCGATTCCTTCGGGATTAAGAAACCTGACAATGCCCGGCGAATGGCTACCAAACGCAGGCCCGACGGCCGCCGTCGTCGGCGGACACCCACCATCTAGAAAACCCTCCCAAGGCCAGCGGGAGATCGTCATCGTCGAAAGAAGAAGAGGAAACCCTAACGGGAACTTCATGGCTATATACTTGGGCTAGAAACTGCTACGGAGAGAGGGCGTCGAGAAGAGAGAAGCAAAGCAAAGCAAAGCAAACCTGAGGAAACCCGCCAAGCGACGATCGCCCCTCGAATCGAAGTCACGAAGATCGTCGGCTGCGGTGGCGATCGAGAAGAACCGAAGCGATGATCGATCGATCGATCGATCGAGAAAGAGAGAGAGAGAGATGTCGAAGGAGACGAAGCCTTTGGTTCTGTTTCTTGGATAGGAAGTTTGCGCCTGGTCTTCTTCTGCTTCTTTGAATATATGAAGGAAGCCAAAGCGCGTTCACCTCACGCGGGGTGGAAGTTACCGTTGAGATTTTCTTGATTTTATTATACTGGAAAAAGAGAGAAAATAAAAAGAGTAAAAGAACATTAAATACCATATAGAGGATAAATTGCTCGAAGATTTTAGTCTATTTAGGAAAGACCGATCAATATCAGAAATGTTTCAAATTTCGATTACAATCTCTTAGAAGATAATGAAAATAATTTTCATTATCGGTAAAACCTATGCCGGGCATTTTTGTTGGTAATCAAAATATTCTCCGTTAATTCAATTTTCTAAACAACGTAAAAAGATCAATGTCAGGAATTTTTTTTTTCGAATTATACAATAAATATGGTATAAACATAAATTTCTCAAAGATTTCAGTCGATTTAAGAAAAAGCGATAAATATCAGAGATGTTCATTAAATTTCGATTCGAAGGTGTTAGAGAGATTTTACGGTGTGCTTTTTTTTTTTTTTAGAAGAGCTTTAGAGGGCGGAGGAAATGTTGAGGGTTGAGAAAAAACGAGGTGGAAAAAGGAGGAGAGAGGGGAATTATTTTTCGTTATCCTTATTTAAAAAGGGGCGAAAATTACTTCCGATCGTATATTTCTCATAAATATCGAGTCGAATCCAAAATATAAATGTAGGAAAACGAGGTGGAAAAAGAGGAGGCAAGCTAAAATGAGTAAACAATAGATCCATTTATAAATAAATAAATAAAAACATGTTTGAAATCAACATAGGAACATGAATCATTTTTCCTGAAAAATATTTTCGTAATGTTCATTAGTAAAGATATTGGAATCGCAGAAAATCAACAATTCAGAAAATGCTTTCCTAGTTTTGATTGTTCTCGTCGCTTAAAAAAATAAATTAATGAAAATTATTTTCATTATGGATAAAACCTATGCCAAGCATTTTGGTTGGTAATTAAAATATTTTCTATTAACTCAATTTTCCAAACAACATAAAGATCAAAGTTAGGAAAAAAAAAATTTCAAATTATTGATTTTTCACAAACCAACTTTCTCGCCTTTCACTTTGCAAATTTCATGTCATGCGTTGCAGCCATTTTCAAAATGATTGGTATATTGAGTTGCTTAACCCAAATTATGTAGGTTTTATCCATCATTTTGCGAAGAACAAAATCAATGAGCGCGCTCATAGAGATCGTTTCCCCGATTTCTCGGAATAATTGTCCAAAAAGTCCTAAACTTATTGTACGGCAATCAATTCAGTCATAAACCTTTCAATTGTGCTAATTTAGCCCTAAATATTTTAACGATTTGTCAATTTAGTCCTAAACCTTTTGAAAAATTGCCAATTTTGTCCTAAACCTATTATTTGAATATTCGTCAAAAGGTTTAGAACTAAATTGATAAATCATAAAAAAGGTTTGGGACTAAATTGACATAATTAAAAAAAATTTAGGACTAAATTAGACTTCCTAAAGTAAGTTTAGGATTTTATGGACAATTTTCTTCCGAATTCTCAATCCCCAACCCATCATGCTTCATAGCTTCCCAGGCAAGGAGATCAAAAATCTTTCTTTAGGTTTTCTTTGTTCTTATCTTGACTACTTTTGGATTGGGATATTGTGACATTGTCAATCGTCTGATTGTCTTAATAATATTTGCATTCCTATGGAATTATGGGTAAAAAAATTTGGAAGTTAAAACGACTTTTGGATTAGATTAACAGTTACTAACCATAATGGGAGATTATTGGTTTCACAAAATAGTATATAACTCAGTTTTCTATGTAAAGATACTAAATGTAGCATAAAAGTTATCCGTTACAAATAAAACTTGTTATTTCGTGATTCCGCTTGTTCAGACGAACCCATCTATAAAAAAACCCTTTGATGTTGTCTAAGGTCGTGTTTGCTATGATCGGTCTTCCGAGCTGATAAAGGTGTCTATCAATAACTCAATTCACAATATATTCATAAATCACATAGCAAACTAAGTTCATGAAGCGTTATTCCTCGACCTATTTTGCAAAACCATTTCACGCATCTGTGTCACGGATTTTCGAGTCATTGGTAGTTCATGGCATCGGCCGATAAGGCTTCCATGCTATGCTATGCTATGCTGCAGAAAGAACAGAGAATTCTTGAATTCTCTCCTGCCGATGGGAAAGAATTTCTTCTTCAATTCAAGTTCATTTCAAAATACTTCAATTGGTACTCGCCAAAATATTTCAATCGGTACTCGCAAGAAATAGGCCATTTTTCAAATTCCCATGTTTTCGGATCCGTGGAAGAGATGGGTATCGAAGTACCACTTCCATAGTTAATTGTTCCGTCACAACCAACAACCTTAACGCAACACCACAACCACTACCTTCTCCACTTTCTTCACCACAAGTATCACCGCCGCTAGGGGTGTCAATGGATCGGGTCGGGTCGGATTTTCATGATACCTGACCCGATCCTAAACCTATAGGGTCGCGTTTGACCCGACCCGACCAGACCCGAGACCCTATTCATCATATACCCCAAGAGACGGGTCGAGTCGGATCGGGTCGGTCCGGATTGGGTTTCGGGTTGAGAGAGGAGCGAGAGGGAGATGTTCTCTTTGCCGCTCGCGAAGTACAGAGCCCCCCACCCGGGGATCCGATTGAGGGACATCGACAGGGAGAGCGACCAGAAGGACCCGTCCTCAACGGCGGCGGCAGTCGTCATCGAGAGAGGCGCGCCGGAGTAGGGTCGAAACACTCTCGAGCCTCAGCAAATCCGTAATAACTACGGTGGAGGCTCAGCAGGAAGGGGAAGAAGGGGACGGGTGGGCAGCAAATCTCCGACTCGCCAGGACACAGCCGCTAGTGCGATGGCAGCGTTGGCAGCAGCTCGGAGGTTTCACGCGCCGGAGCAAGATCTCACCATGCGTGGATCTGAGAGGCGCAAGCGCAAAGAGGGAGAGGGAGAGATTTGGTTGCAAGCGGATCTTGAATGTGAGGATGGAGGGGGAGGGACTTGGAGGAGAGAGAGGACAAAGCCGTGACGAGAGCCATTGGAGAAGGAGAGGGGAGCAGACCCGAGGAAACGTGGGGGAGAGAGGACGAAGCCGTGACGAGAGCCATTGGAGAAGGAAAGGGGAGCGGACCCGAGGAAACGTTGGAGGTTTCGGGGGAGAAGAAGTGAATGATACGGGCAGAGAGATATTCCACAAGTCAAACTCCTAGATAGGATTGTCAAAAAAGCCCATGCCGGCCTGGCCCGGCTCAACCCAATCATAACTTGACAATACCTATACCTTAAAACCCTACCCCAAAAAAATTAAGGCCCGACCCCAAAATATCCAAAATTTTAGAATAGGGTCGGGCCGGCGTGAGCTTTATTGACACCCTTGGCCGCCGCCGCCACACCTCCAACTTCTCCACCATTGCCGCTGCCTGTACAACTTGTTGTCAAAGTGATGGTGGCGGTGCTAGATGGTTGTGGCAATGGTGGTGGAGATCGAGCGGAGGTGGTGGCCAGTTGATGGTCATGGTGGCAACAGTGAAGGGTGGTAGAACAGGAATATGAAGTTGACTTACGACGTCGGAACAACAAGAAATTAAGATCATATCTTTTATTGCCTAATTTGATAAAGACCAAAGCAACAACTACGAGAATCCGGCTGCTTCTCAGCCAACACCGAGTGAGCAAAAATTCGAAAACAGAAATACATTCCAATCTAGATGAAAACTCTGTCGAAATAGTTACAGTTCTGAGTTCTTCAATTGTCGTCTTCATATTATCAAAGACCGGCAGTTATGTTGATCCTAGGCCACAGTGACAAGTCAAAATGCACAAAGAAAGAGGTCCAGGCGTTTTGCTGCCATAGCCATCTCATAATTCAGGTCTTTTGTAGAAAAACTAGACACTACTTCAAAATATACGTACAGAATCATGCTGTTCTCTACATCTCAACTTGGTCCCAGTCAAACCTTCCCTCTTCAAAACCATATTCCGATCGGTGAAGTCTATTTCTCGACAACTTGCTCATCATGGCAAGACCTAATTGCAGAAACATAGAAGAAAGATATCGTCAGGTCCTGTATGAGCATAAGAAAGCCACCGCATATAAATTTGTGAAGTTATCATTACTCTGCCTTCACTTAAGAGGTTAAGTAAATCAGGTAAAATGATTAGAAAGACAAACATCCAAAACTGTATTCACAATAGCCAAACTAGTAAAGCATGGAGTGATATATTCGAGTTGTCAGATGCATTGAAGGCTTTTCTTGGTGGCAGGATAATGTAAAAGCACAAAGGACTTTCAGTCATTTAATCACATCTAATCACATTAAATCAGATGCACTGACATCTCTTCTATGAAAAAAAATTGGATTTCTGTAGTAACTTCTGTCCTACATATAATGACAGTTAATTTTGACAGCAACACAGTTAGACAAGTTTACCTTCAACCATTCGGTAGAGAGCCGACCACCAGCCTTCGCTAGAGATCTGATACTGATTTAGGGATTCCTCAATTATTTGATCATGCTTCCCTTCCAAAACTCCCCGCAGAGTTATGACC